TGCGCACCATCGATCACTCTGCTGCCTGGCGTTGGACGCGACGCACCGCCATCTTGAGCCAAGCTGTTGGGCCTGTGGATTAACCTCCTTCTCTCGCAAGCCATGGCAATGGATGCGCAGCAGCAGAACAAGAACTTGGAGGGCGTCAAGAAGGAAGTGCAGACGCCCAAGACCAACGAGAATGGGAGCGATATGGACAATTTCCGAGGCGGGAGAGGAGGTGGCCGCGGCAGCTTCCGTGGCAACCGGGGCGGAGGCCCTGGCGGCGCTGGAGGCCGAGGCGGCGGCAATGCGTCTTCAGGCACAGTGCAAACCTCGACACCGGTGCCCGGAGGTATCGGCAGCCTAGGGCAGAGTAACAATCTCGGGCAAGGTGCCCAGGGCGGTGGCGGCGGCGGCGGTGGCGGCGGCGGCGGCGGCGGCGGGGCGAGAGGAGGCTACAACGACCGCAATGAGCGTGGTGGAGGAGGAGGATTCTATCGTGGCGGCAGAGGCGGCCGTGGGGGTCGCGGCGGCGGCGGCGGCGGTGGCGGAGGCGGAGGCGGTGGAGGAAATTTCAACCAAGGCGACAGAGACAAGTTCCCTCACGTAAGTACAATTCCCTCGAGTCTCCCATTGTTCTCGTAGGGACGCCACGTCCCGTACGGGCGTCCTGGAAGATGCTCTTCCAAGCCTTGGGCGGGAGCCTTGGAAAAGTTTCTTAGCGCTTTGTACAGTAGTGACGCCGCAAAGCTTGACTGACTGCAGTCAACACCATGGAACTTCATCAAGGTGCTAACTTTTACTATGAATCCCCCATTTGCTGAAATGGTTATATGTTTGTAAAATAATTGGGTAATTGTCCATGAAGTGACCACACCCCTCTAAGTCCGAATTGCTCCAGCCAACCACCTTTGGAGCACTGCAGTGTTAACTAACAACCTTTCTTACCAGGGGCATTGTCCTGAACCTCAGACCCAATTGCAGTTTTCCTCGCTTTTTGGTTATTTCCACAGCCATCCAATCTTGATATTCATTCTTTCAGTTATCAGTACAGTAATATGCATGAATTTTGTTGATATTTTCAATTGCAAATAATGCAAATAAAAGTATTGGTAAAGTTTATAAAATTACTGTACATCTGAGAGATGTTACTGAGAGTGACGCATGGATATAGAGCAAAATGGACAATGTCATCTTTTAGAACATAAAAAATAGAGTAGGAATCAATACAACTAAATCTGCAGCGGCCTTATATTTCCCGGGAAATAACTAAAACAGGCTCTGCATGGCACAGCTCTTGAGACGAAGTCCCCGTTCACATTTACCTTCTGAGGACCAAAACAAATGACGCGTTAATTGGGTCATTATGTAGTATAAAGTAGTGGTAGAGTTGGGTAATAAAACCTACATGAAATGAAAGAAGAACACAAACCAAGACAAAGTTCTTCTATGGCAATATGTGTGCAAATGCTTCCCAAGGGTGCTATACATAAAAGGAAAGGGAAGATGAAATCCACTGCTTTCAATGATTCTAGGCATTGTTCATTGTGCAAATGGGCGACCTAACCCAACATCCAACCTAACCTTACACTGTGGTATATATTCCCTAGCCAGGGGGCTCTGCCCCCTGAACCCCTGGGGTAATATACATACCTAGCACCCTTGGGAAGCATTTCCACACATATTGCTTTAGAAGAACTTTGTCTTGGTTTGGATTGTTCTTTCATTTCATGTAGGTTTTATTACCCAACTCTGCCACTACTGCATACTACATATTGTCCCATAATTGTGATCCATCAAGTTGTCCATGTATTACTATGTGCTTGTGAATACAATTATTTTGTAATTACCAGTGCCAGTTTTTCCAAATTCATGTATTTAACCCAATGGCGCCGGGTGTACAAAAGGAAAAAAAAACTCTACGCTCTAGCAAACAAAGGCAAACTCGCGCGCAGTCAAGCTTTGCGCGCGAGTACGGGACGTCAACCCGAATCACTGGCTCGCCCTGCTTTGGCGCGCCGCCGGCTCGTTTGGCTGCACGCCAGCTTTCGAGCGCTTTGTTTATATGCCTATCGGCGTGACCCGGCACCAAGGAGTTAATGAATTCTTTTACTTTTATTATACTTGTTTTATGTGCTTTGGTAAACATTCACACTGTTTTGCACGATAACTCTGTGCGCATGCATATTTTTCCACCTGGAGATTTGACATGCCATTCGTTCAGAGACGCCGGTGAGAAAGGTCATATTTATTAGTATCTATCTCAGCCTGATATTTGACCCCAACAAGTGCCCCAAATGCCAAAAAAAGGAATTTGGATCATAGACGGAAGCCAAGAAAAGTTAGGTCTTTCGCTATATAAAGATATGTGGTTTAACCCTGGGGGTTCAGAGAGTAGAGCCCCTTGGCTAGGGAATATATAAATTGTATTTTCTTAAAGGGGGTCCAGGGGGCTACAGGCATATAATTAGGCTAGGCTAGATTAGGTCAGGTTTATATATTACTGGGCGCATATAAT